TAAACATGGAGTTGAAGATTATTATATTAATAAGAGCCACAGTACAGTTCTTTTTTTCATTCACCTACTTTTTGCAATTATAGTTTTATAAAAACTTTTTACCAGTTACCTTTCTGTACTTTTTATTATTCGTGATTATTTTCCTTCCTTCAATAGTATTGATATTTTGACTCAAGGATAATTGTTTTTGGGACCTGTTCTATGCATTATAGTATTGTTAGCAGAATTCCTGACCTGTGTCTACTAAATCCTAGCCACAGACACACAGATTTGGCAACCAAAAAAATCTCTCTAGATATTATCATATTTTGCCAGCGAGGCAAAATCTTCCCTGGTTATGAACTATTGCTTTAGCCGATGTTGCTTTCTCTGTTAGAATTGGTATAAAATTGTTATAATAAGGATTTGCTTATGTTTTTTAACTAGTTCAATTTTAATAAGAGTCTTCAATAATTATAAGATTATTTTTAGAATTTTCTGTAGATTTTATTTCTGGTCACCTTACTATTTAGTTGCAGGGATAGGGTTAGAAACCAATTTTTTGGAAAAAACATTATGTTCGGGCTGGGGATTTAGCTCAGTGGTTCCACTGCCTGTCTTGCAAGCGCAAGGACCCGAGTTTGATCCTTGGTACCAAAAAAACCCCAAAAAACAAAAAAACAAAAACATTATGTTCATAGTGTTCTACCATATTCATTCTTTGATTCAAGAGCATATGCTATGCATGCACCATGCTGGGTGTTAGAGATTAAATAACAAGACATTGAGTAAAATTTTCAAGTATACATCAACAACCATTTGAGTTAGCTGCCACATTCTTTTTTGATACTTGATGTTAGACATTTTTAAAAAGTGTTTGAAGAATAATTGTTTTATATATGACTGAACCATGCCAAAAGAGCTACTCTTAGCATTAAGATAGAGTATGTATTTATTTCTTCTTTTTGTAGGAAGTGATCCATCACTGAGCTACACAGTATCATCACTTTTTATTTATTTTATTTATTTATATTTTAAGTGCTCGGGGTGGGCTTGAACTTGAGATCATCCTGCTTCAGCCTCGCAAGCAGCTGAGATCGTTGATATGTGCCACCACTCCTAGTTGTTAAGATACAGTTTTGAAACAGTTGTGGACTTTGAATTAGAAGACCCAGATTCTGGTCCTGATTCTTTTTTTTTTTT